CTAATTGTATTTTATATTTTATATTTTAATAAATATACGCACTGAAAATTTTAATACTTTTTTATTCCCTCGACACGCCTCTGATTTATATCAAATATCATTTGTGTTTATATCGTAGAGAACAGCTGAGCAAAAACGATTAACTTTTTAATCGGAGAAAGATGCAGAGTATATTAGCCATCTGATAATTACAAACTTTTTTCGCGACTTCACATGCCGGCAATTTACGCGGGAAAAATTCTAAATCAAGCTAATTAATTAATTGAAACGGTTTATTATTCCAAAATCTTAATAATTCTATAATATTTAGATATTTTAAGTCATTTTATAAAAAAATACTTTATATTTCCATTACCTAAACATTCAGAACATGTGCATTGTAGTGAACTTGAACCTTTAAATGAAACATGACCTGAAATTCAAGAAAGCATTTTAACAGATGATAAAACTTTTAATTATTTTTACAAATTCTGAAGGAAATAGGAGAACCCACCTCTCACCCCTGACTAATACCCTGTTTCCATTATAAAAAAGGATATGTTGATATAATAAAAAGCTGACGCAATTAGGGAAATTTAACTGTGCTTAATGAAATCTCAATACTTTTATTTTTATTCCATGCATCTGGTTATATCATTTAAGTTTATGTAACCGGGAACAGTTGAACTTGAAACATGAGATGAAATTAAAGAAGCGTTTTATTTTTTATTACTAACAAAAATTTAATTGTTCAAAATGTTTTTATATTATTTGCAACAACTGGTTTATAAGGAAATAATAATATGTACAATTTAAAAAGTTATATTTTCTTAAACGTATCGAAGAATTATTACAAAAATTATTGACAATACACTTTAAGATTTATTTTTTAATTTTTCGCCTCGTCTCCCTGTACCTTTTTTAATTTTATTTACATTAACATATTTCAAAATTCTAGGTGCCAATCTTTTAGAGCCCTTTATATATATTTTTGTGTTTTAAATTATCATATAACGCGGTGAACTCCTCTTCCGTAAAGTGAATACGATGGATAAACATTATATTCGTTAACTCGGTTCTCACACTCAGGATACGAATGTTTATTATTTACTGTTTCTATATTTCAAATTTGATGCTTAACATTATTATGGTGGTATATCAGTTAATGAAAAGTTTTAACTAAAATAAAATTTATGTCCCCCACTAGAAGAGACGTTCCATGTAAGTATAAAAAAGGATATTTCTTAATTAAAAAATTATTTAACGAAAATAAGATTAAAATTCACTGCTAAAAATTTCATTACTTACCTTTATTTTAAATTTTCCAAATAAGTTTTAAGATTTTCATATCATTCAAATTGCAGAGTTTTTCAAATTAAAAATAGATATAATTAAAAATAAAAATCATATAAATGGATTAAAATATTTTTATTTATAGGCAAATTTATTCATTGTTAGAGTTCCTTATTAAACTAATTTAAATCAAAGTTTTTATTTATCGATTCCGCAAATAAAATACATTTATTGATATTTTCATATACTTGTACAAAAGTTTGAAGGGTTTTTTGATAAACGTTTATTTTACTTAAAATTTGTTCTCGTTCCTTCATTTTTATTTTTTAAAAATTGATTGTTTTAGAACGCAATTCACTAATATTGTTTAAATACTTTTTTAATATGACATCCTCACTGTACTTCTCCCCATTGTCCTTTTCATTTTCAGCATCACTTATATTTTCATGGTCAGGATTCGAATATATCAGTCCAGGATCCGAACACAAGTGAGCAGCCAATGGAGCAAAAAAAGTTTGATTCTCCGGAAGATCAAAATGATTAAAAGTAGAGTGAAAAGAGTCTTGAGTGACAAAAGCTGGATCTACAAATTCTTGCTTCGAAGATGATGGTACCGGATTAGAAGGCGAATAGGTAGAGTTTTGATTGACCACAGCTTGACTTACAGGTAAGGCCGGTAGATTAAAAGCAGACGCTGGATCTACAAATTCTTGCTTCGAAGATGAGGGTACCGGATTAGAAGGCGAATAGGTAGAGTTTTGATTGACCACAGCTTGATTCACAGGTAAGGCCGGTAGATTAAAAGCTTAATGAAATCTCAATACTTTTATTTTTATTCCATGCATCTGGTTATATCATTTAAGTTTATGTAACCGGGAACAGTTGAACTTGAAACATGAGATGAAATTAAAGAAGCGTTTTATTTTTTATTACTAACAAAAATTTAATTGTTCAAAATGTTTTTATATTATTTGCAACAACTGGTTTATAAGGAAATAATAATATGTACAATTTAAAAAGTTATATTTTCTTAAACGTATCGAAGAATTATTACAAAAATTATTGACAATACACTTTAAGATTTATTTTTTAATTTTTCGCCTCGTCTCCCTGTACCTTTTTTAATTTTATTTACATTAACATATTTCAAAATTCTAGGTGCCAATCTTTTAGAGCCCTTTATATATATTTTTGTGTTTTAAATTATCATATAACGCGGTGAACTCCTCTTCCGTAAAGTGAATACGATGGATAAACATTATATTCGTTAACTCGGTTCTCACACTCAGGATACGAATGTTTATTATTTACTGTTTCTATATTTCAAATTTGATGCTTAACATTATTATGGTGGTATATCAGTTAATGAAAAGTTTTAACTAAAATAAAATTTATGTCCCCCACTAGAAGAGACGTTCCATGTAAGTATAAAAAAGGATATTTCTTAATTAAAAAATTATTTAACGAAAATAAGATTAAAATTCACTGCTAAAAATTTCATTACTTACCTTTATTTTAAATTTTCCAAATAAGTTTTAAGATTTTCATATCATTCAAATTGCAGAGTTTTTCAAATTAAAAATAGATATAATTAAAAATAAAAATCATATAAATGGATTAAAATATTTTTATTTATAGGCAAATTTATTCATTGTTAGAGTTCCTTATTAAACTAATTTAAATCAAAGTTTTTATTTATCGATTCCGCAAATAAAATACATTTATTGATATTTTCATATACTTGTACAAAAGTTTGAAGGGTTTTTTGATAAACGTTTATTTTACTTAAAATTTGTTCTCGTTCCTTCATTTTTATTTTTTAAAAATTGATTGTTTTAGAACGCAATTCACTAATATTGTTTAAATACTTTTTTAATATGACATCCTCACTGTACTTCTCCCCATTGTCCTTTTCATTTTCAGCATCACTTATATTTTCATGGTCAGGATTCGAATATATCAGTCCAGGATCCGAACACAAGTGAGCAGCCAATGGAGCAAAAAAAGTTTGATTCTCCGGAAGATCAAAATGATTAAAAGTAGAGTGAAAAGAGTCTTGAGTGACAAAAGCTGGATCTACAAATTCTTGCTTCGAAGATGATGGTACCGGATTAGAAGGCGAATAGGTAGAGTTTTGATTGACCACAGCTTGACTTACAGGTAAGGCCGGTAGATTAAAAGCAGACGCTGGATCTACAAATTCTTGCTTCGAAGATGAGGGTACCGGATTAGAAGGCGAATAGGTAGAGTTTTGATTGACCACAGCTTGATTCACAGGTAAGGCCGGTAGATTAAAAGCAGAGGCTGGATCTACAAATTCTTGCTTCGAAGATGACAGTACCGGATTAGAAGTTGAATAAGTTAAGTTTTTACTGACCACATCTTGATTGACAGGTAAGGCCGGTGGATTGAAAGCAGAAGTTTGGGTTACAAAACCTTGATTAGAAGCTGCAGGTAAAGAATCATCATGTATCTCGATGATATTATCACTGACTTGTAAAAATGTTTTTTTGTTGGCCGGTTTTTTAAAATGTGATATAAGTTTCACACGATTTACTTTGTTACCCGTAGACTTATTTAGACGACGAGTCATTTTAAAAACGTTTCGGAGCGCGCAAAGTGAAGTCTTCTAATTATTCTGATAAACTAATGTGTTCTGCAAATATCTATGTATATATATGGAACACTAAAAAAACATTTTCTTTATTGTTTTATTTCTTACAATATTCTCTTTAAAGGCCTGGGGTTTAGTTCGAATAGTCAACGCCTTCTAACCAATAAAGAAATTTCGCGCTCAAAAAGCTTGTTAGCGTCAGAGTGTTGTACTCAATTTTTATAATTTTTAAAATTTCTTGCGTGAGAATCATAAAATAGAACGGCACCCATGCATATGTGTATAATCTCTTTTGTTTTTAATACATTGTAGTTTTATTTCTATACTTGGTTTGTTTCTTTAAGTGATGTAGACTATGTTTTGTTTTTGTTTTAAAACATCATGGGAAAATACAGATAAAAGTAACTAATTATTAAAAAGACACATATTTTAACTCGTTTTACGCTTAGTAGGAATTGCAATATTTTCCTACAGTTTACCTTACAAAAACTCACAAGTGTGTGAAATATGATGATAGGAAGGTGTTAAATTTTGCCTTTACAAATCATGTAAAATTGTCGTTTTAGGTATGAACATTAAAATGAATTTTAGTATCAGCCTTTAATCTGAACAAACATCATGTATTCTTGCTTAATTTTTATAATGTTTATGGTGGCGGTATCAGCCCAATATAATAGGTGCGAAGAAGAAAAATTTCTTCTTCACCGCGAAGTGGAGGCGCTTCAAAAAACCAACCTTAACTTAAAAAATGATGTGGCATTATGGAAAGAGGCATGTTCAATAAAAACCCAAAATAAAGCCGATGATATTATTAGGTAAGTTATTATAATTTTGGTTAAATTAAAATAACAAAAATACGCTGATTATGTTATGTTATATTGGGCTGTATTGATAGTCGAACAGTACGGATGTGTCGAGTGATCTCTCCTAAAATTTGTGCAAAAAGAGGCCGAAATTAGCTGAGTTTTTTAAAGGCAAGTGATTATAAACATACCTACTATTTCAATAAGATACATTCAAATATTGACTAAGAATCTGCACTTAGATTGCATCTAAAAAAAGGGAAGTCAGTTTATTAGTACGGGTGATTAAACAAAAAAACAGAGAACAAATAATGTCTGAAAAATCAGCAACCTTAGAGGATATTTTAAGTGAAATAGTTAAAACTAGAGAAGATCTTAATACTCAAATAGTTCAAGTTAGGTCAGATATTAAGAGCAGCTTAGAAGCGAGTGAAGCGCGAATATTATTTAAAACTGAAAACCTAAAAGAGCGTATCAAAGAACTCGAAAAAGAAAATTTAGGATTACGAGATCAAGTGGAGGTACTCGAAAGAAATCAAAAGAAAAATACCATTCTGATATTTGGCTTAAATAAACCCGTGGAAGAGCGATCCATTAGTCTATTCTGTGACGAGATAGGGAATTTGCTTGATATACAAATTTCAGAAGCGGATATAAAAGATTTCTACTCATTAGGAAAATTACCTGAGAGCCCCCTTAAAGTAGAATTATTGACAAACCATAAAAAAAGATTAATTTTACAAAATACGAAAAAATTGAAGAACACCGGATGGATTATCGCGAATGATTTAACTGAATTACAAAGAAACAATATTAAATATCTTCGTGAGCGAATGAACTGTTATAGAGAAACTAATTCAGAAAAGTGCTATATCAGGGGCGAGAAACTTTTTATTGGAAATAAAGGATATTCTGTTGATGAGTTGGAGGATTTCGAAACTACAGCAAATACAACTTCTCATAGTGCGCCAGCGACCCCCACTCCTGAAAACCTTCCTGATGCTAGCGTCACACGAGAATTGGATAAAGTTCAAGAAAACGATTCATATAAAAATCCAAACTTAGCACAAGGACCTGGATCTAAAAATAATAAAAAAATCCAACAATTACCCAAAACGAATCTAAAAGTTTTGTCAAACATTAAAGGATCACCTACAACCAAAAATACTACATCCAAACCAGTCGATATCAGGGAGAAACTAAGAAACAGAAACGGATCTACCAACAAGTAAATCTTAATTCTTTTAATTATTTTCGCACATACCTTCCGTACTATTAAAATTCTCGTTTAAATTTTATTTCTTACTTGCTATCTTATCGTGTTAATTGTATGTATTTTTAGTATAAGAACATTTTAAAATACTATTATTATTGTATATATTTGAAAGGTAAAATTTTATTGAAATTGTTCTTCTATCGAAATTAATAAAATTTTATATAGGTATCTATACTGTTTTAACCATTTTAAATCTTTTCAATTTTTATTTTCAATTATAAATAAATTTTTTAATAACACATTATATTATGGATCCCTTTATGAGGGACTATAACTATACGAAATTTCCAACTACTGTATTACGAACTGCTGAAGACTTTAATAATAAGGATCACAATAGAACGGGTTTTAGCGTTTTACATCAAAATATAAGAAGTTTAAATTGTAATATGGATCATTTTGAAGCATACCTACAATTATTTAAACAATCTTTCGATATTTTGATTTTAACTGAAACTTGGAACAAATTTGATATAAACTTGTATGCTAAAGAACGTTACAATATGATTTACAATAATGCTGATTTTAATAAATCGGATGACACTATTGTCTATTTAAAAGAATCTATTATGTACAATTTTGAAATAAAACAAATTGATCAGAGTACGGTAATAGTTATTGAAGTTATCAATGATAAGTATAAAATGCTAATCTTATGCATTTATAGATCTCCATCCACAAATGAAGAAAATTTTGTTAGGGAACTGTACGACTTTTTAGAAACATCAAACGATAATTACGACTTAAATATCATTATAGGCGATATAAACATTAATATTTTTTCACAAGACAGAGTAACAACGGAATACTTAAATATGTTGAGTGAATATGGTTTTACTTCAACGATAAATAAATATACAAGGGTGCCATCCAAAACATGTATAGATCATGCATTTGTAAAGGTCAAAAATCGAAATTTAGAAGAAATCTGTGAAGCTTACGTTTTAGACAGTAATATCAATGACCATCGCAGTTGTATACTAAAGTTTTTGATGCCATTAACTTCAAACACGGAAACAAAAAATGATAATTATAGAGATGTGATTAATTACAAAAATTTAAAAAATAATTTAATACATTTTAATTGGGCCGGATTGTATTGTATAACTGAAGTTCAACAAGCATGGGATTATTTTCTTACTCATATAACAGATCTCCTAAAAACACATACAACTCGATTAAAGATAAACAAAAAAACAAATAAGAAAAAAAATTGGATTACTTCGGGAATAATAACTTCAATCCTACATAGAGATAAACTCTACAAAACCTATCAAAAAAATAAAGATGAACAATCAAAACAAACATTTATTAATTATAGAAATAAATTAGGTACAATAATTAAAAAATCAAAAATAGAATTTCACAAAAAAATTATAAAAGATAATCCCAGTAATTTATGGAAAACTATAAACAAAATATGTGGCAAAAACCCCAAAAAACAAGAATTTAAAGCGTTATATAATCAAAATAATGAAAAAACCAGTGATAAATCTGAAATAGCAGAAATATTTAATACGTTTTTTTCCAATGTAGGAATTAATTTAGCTAGTCAAATAATCTTGCCAAATACGCTTCGTCCAATGAGATTTGTATGTTCAAATTCAATATTCTTGAATCCTTCAAATGAAAAGGAAATATTAGAAATAATTAAAAAATTAAAAAATAAAAAAGCACCAGGTATTGACGACCTAACCGCAGAAACAATTAAACAAATTGATTCGGAAATAGTATCCCCCCTAACTTACTTAATTAACCTATCTATCGAAAAAGGCATTTGTCCAAATCAATTTAAAATTGCAACAATTAAACCGTTACATAAAAACGGTGACAAATGCACACCATCAAATTATAGACTCATATCGATAACTACGACCTTTACAAAAATATTTGAAAAAATAATTGTCACGATTAGAATCATTTTTTGATAAAAACAATACAATTTCACCGAAACAATTTGGATTTCAAAAAAGTAAATCTACGGAGGATGCTATTGCCGAACTAACGAAAGAAATGTATTTAGCTCTGGATAAAAGTAAACCATCTCTGGCAGTGTTTCTGGATCTTGCAAAGGCTTTCGACACTGTTGATCACCAACAGTTATTGGAAGCCCTGCAAGATGCAGGAATAAGAGGCAATGCTTACAATTTGTTTAAAAGTTATTTGTTTAATAGACAACAAAGTGTAAGAATAGATAATACGAATAGCACTTACCAACAAATAAAATGCGGTGTACCACAAGGTACAGTACTTGGTCCTATTTTATTTAATTTATATATCAATAACTTACTATTAATAAATCATCAGGGTCGGATAATTAGTTTTGCTGATGACACGGTTATTTTCTATTCTGCTGATAGTTGGGAAGAATTAAAAGTAATTGTTGAAAATGATTTAAAATACATATTCGACTGGTTTAATCATAAACTCTTAACAATTAATTTCTCTAAAACATTCTTTTTACCAATAGTTAGCTATGAAAATAATCTACCGGAATATAACAACTTAGTAATCATCAGCAATAATCAGGTGCCTTTAACTATAAGTTCATCAAATAAAACGAAATATTTAGGAATAATTATTGATAGTCATTTGCGTTGGAATCATAATATAAATAACATTGTAAATATACTAAGAACCCTATTATTTAAGTTTAAATATCTTTCCAAAATACTAGAATTACCTTACCTAAAAATGTTGTACTACGCTTTAGTTCATTCTAGAATAACGTATGGAATATTAGGATGGGGTGGAGCCTCAAATGTGTATATGGACAAAGTCGAAGTAATACAAAAATATTTTTTAAAAATTATATTAAAAAAAGAACGCACATACCCATCTGACCAATTATATAAAGAAGCAGAAATACTTGATCCTAAACAAAACTTTTTCTTTAAAATAGCAAACTATTATTTTAAAAATCAGAGTCTTCTTAAAAATGTAACACATAAATATGAAACAAGATCCAAGGCAATGAATAAATTAGAAGAATCAGCAGCCCGTAAAACAGTAGGACAAAAAAGCCATTTGTTTTTAGCACCCAAGGTTTTAAATTCACTACCCATAAAAATTAAAAATTCTCTGTCGATATCTCAGTTTAAGACAAGACTAAAAAAACATACTCTCCATGAATAGAATAAAAATAATCGAATTAACGTATTAACCAGTAACTAAAAATCAACTATAAAGTAGGTACCTACAAATAAAAAATTTATTTTTTTCTAAAGTATATTTTTTAATTTTTTTGTAATAATAAAAATAATTTTTATTATTCATTATTATCATCAATATTATTATTATTAAATATAATTTTTAAGGTTATTATTATTATTATTATTATTATTATTATTATTATTATTATTATTATTATTATTATTTATTATTATTATTATTATTATTATTATTTTATTATTGTTATTATCATCAATATTATTATTAAATATTGTTGCTGTCATTATGATTGTTATTATTATTGTATTTTTTATTAACATTAATCTCGATAATTTAATTATAAAATTATACTTTATAGTATCTTAACCACGGACAGTCTCTGACTTTGTGGACATTTACTGTTTGTATTTTATATGTATTTTTTCTTGATTATGTGTGTACATTTTTACAAATAAACAAATTATTATATTATTTTATATTGACAATTCAGAACATATGAGAATCATTTATATTTAAAAAAGGAAATATGTATTTATTTGTAACCTCTATTTACATAGATAATATTACCATTTTATATTAAAATTTCGTTATTAAAAAAGGATTTTTACTCTGAATTGTCCTGCTTTGTTTTTGTTTTGTAATTTTAAAACCTTAAACTCGTTCTCGGAAATTGGAATATATATGCATTGAAGTAAGATATCTAAACTTAAAAATAATTCAAATTTACTTACAATATTACCTGTTATATTACCAGTATATAAAATTTATTTGATTAATAGAGTGTACTTCACGTAAAAAATACAACGTCTTTTTTTACACTTTTAAACCTCAAAGTTAAAATCTTTACTCAATATAAAAAATGTTTTCAAAAGTAGATTAAGGAAAGTTAGATTTATAACAAAATTATTTTTATTTGTAGTCGAGACCACGAAATTTTTTATCTTAGGCAAACCCTTGTCAACAAAGAACTGCAGTGTTCAAGAATGGTTGGAGTGAGGGGTGATAGGATAGTTGAATTGGAAAAAGTTATGGAAATCGTCAAGAATAATTTTACCAGTTGTACCCATAATTTAACAAAAATGGGGAAAGAAAAGATGGTAATTTTAAATAATTTAAATAACGTCGAGGACGAAAACGCTGACTTACACGACAATATTGGCAGATTTAGAAGTATAAATAACGTCTTGAGAAAGAGAATTAAACTATGGAAGAAGCGCGTTGAAAGATGTAGGAATAAGAAAAATAATAAATAAATTATTTTTATAAAAAATATTTTTAATAAAATGTTAAACATTTTTGGTTCTTATTTTTCCTTTAATTTATTAATTAAAAAATACTGGTGCTTCGAAAGGATTCCTCACTGTTCCCAAAGTAGCGCTGGGAAACCATAACCAAAGCTTACACAGACCACGAGGCTAATAACCACAGCAGTTGATGCCGTTGACACCAAAAAATAATAATAAAAAATAAACGGAGAGTGAAGTCTATCTGACAGTTTAGCGATATATACATTAATAATATAAACTTTTTTAATAAAGGATGCGAATATTAATTAATTCTAGACTGCTATACATTGTTCCTGTCTTTTTAAATATTCATGTATACACTTTTCTTTTTAAAATTTTCGATAGATCTACCTCTAATTAAACAAAAACATAAATTTTAAACATTACGAAAAATTTATTTTGAACTATAAAATCATCAATAAAAAATGTAATTTAATACCAACATCGTGAGCGTTCCAAAGGCGGCTTTAAAGAGTACCTAGATAGAATTACACCGGCGCCACAACATAGATTAAATTAATATATCTACCACAAAAGTACGTCAACATAAAATTAATTACACCATGTTGTAGTCTTTATTATTGTTGTTATTCTGTTAAAAAAAATATCGTGGCTATTTTATAAATTGGAAAAATATACTATCTTCATAATTAGTATAGAGAATGTGAAAAATTATAACTATTTCAGGCTATTAAAAAGGGTAAACATTTTAAAAAATGATGAAAACTTTGGTACCTACAAATATAAATTTTAACAGAATTTATAGGGTTCATTCTAAAATGTTTGTAGCCCGATGTTAAGTTATAAAAATAAATAATTTTCTAATACGTTGCTTTATAGGGATCACTGCACTTTGCAAAGTATCAGATTACATATATCCTGTACACCCAGTGTCGTTTTAGTACATACAAAAATTTTTATTCCTTTTCACAATTTTATTTTGCATACATTTTCGTTATTTATTTTGCTTTGTTTAAGAAATAATTAATTTTTATTAAAATTTAAAAATTTATTTGCTGAAATTGTTCGGGCTCATATATGAAAAAATTTATACATTATTTATTTTAATTCACCTTCCAATTGATTTGAAGTACTATATTTATAGCATACAGCATATGCATATTGTAAATTAGTATTGTATTGAGCTAAAATAAATCAAGTTATTCAATAAAAATAGGGTGTTTTAGTGGAGCTAACAGTAAAATTTTGTATACCTAAATAAACGTTTTATTGGGTCAGACTTGAAGGGCTAGTAAATAAGTTGTGGGTCAACTTCTAAATCACTTAGTTTTTAGAAGTTGACGGAGTTGCACAGGGCTACTGGCCCTGTGAACTCGAGAGAACAGGAATGAGAAATCAAAAGTATTTACTAAAAGTTAAACCATTACACTACAAAATTAGGGGTAATAATTTTTACTAACAAATTGCAAAACATTTAAATAAATTTTATTTTAAATTAAATCAACATCGTAATTAATTACAGTTATCGTTTTTACATTTATAATTCAGATAGCTACACCACATTTTAACGCTCACATAATATTGTATCTTTTCTGGCTTCAGTCATGATTCGAGTTCATTTTTAAAACACATCCACATTTTCACATCTCATGTTCTCAGAAATTTTTAGTAATTTCACGTTTGTCATTAAAGTTAACTTTGAAGAAAAGCTGTCTAGATGCTGTACATCGGGGCTTGTCGTCGTGCTCGATGGATATATTGCACATCTTTATTAATTACAATTCTCCTTTTAACTTTATATTTCTGGAGGCTAGCTCACATTTTAACTTAGTCATTTTATTTATTTGGGTTTCAATAACTTTGTAATCCTCACACAATGTCTTTATCTCCTGAACTATTTTGGCCTCAAGCATGATCCGGTTTTCTGCCATTTTTAAAAACGGTTCTATATCTTCACGTATCGCCTTATCATATTCCTTGAAACGAGCACTATTTTCGCGTTTATTAGTAGATGTTTTTACAATTTCAGAATTTTCCACGTTCATATTGATTACTATAGCATAGTATTAAAACTGAAAAGTATGGCGACAGCCCCTTTTAAATAACAAAATTTGTGCACAAAAAATGTCACTAACCATGTTTTATGAAAGTACCAATGGTGGGGGCGGATGTCTTTATCATTCCCAAAAATATTAAATTACATGCCAGATGGTCAACATGTGTTTGCCAGTATATCATTATCATTATAATTTACATGCCACGTATGGACACCAGATGTTGCCATGTGTTCGCCAGATGGCCGGGTGCAGGTGTTCGCGTGAGAACCGGATGTCTTTATCTTTCCCATCAAATTACAACATGTGTTCGCCAGATGGCCGTCATGTGTTCACCATATGGCCGGAAACAGGTGGCCGCCAGATGGTAGAGTGGATGTCTAGACACCACATGATGATCATGGTTTCATGTTTACTAATTCCCATGAGATCTATGGGAGAGGGAATATAAATGAAAATCGTAGATAATTTTTAGTTTAGTAATGTCGAGCGAAGACTTCGGTGATCTTTTGGATGTACTTTATCCTCCGAATAAGTATAAACTCGAACGAAAACTGTGTTTGGTTTGCCGTTCAGTGAAATCCAGGATGGTCACAAAAACAGAGCAGAAAAAGCAAATTTTAGTGTTTTGTAAAAATTGTGTGCAAATAAGACCGGTTTTCATTACTTATGAAGACTTAGTCGATCCATATAAAATATGTAAAATTATATACAAATATAGAAAGTGGCCACCTCTGTTTAGCGTAAGGAAAGAATCACGGCCGATAGAAATTTGTTGTGATTGTGCCAAGTGGAGGGGAGCATACCATCCAGTAGAATATATATAAAATATATACCTATTTTGAAGTTGTTAACATGGACGAGCAAGGCGATGAGGTGCTATTTGATGAAGACAGCAACGATAGCGGTATTTCACTAGACTGTTCCGTTGTAGACCATAAAGTTGAGGAGAGCAGTGGGTTGCAAAGTCACGAATTTTTAAGACTATCCTCATCAGAGACGCTTTGTGTTACTCAAAATTATGTGCTTTGCGAAAATGTGAAATTGTGCTATGTCTGCTATTATCGAATAGTGGCGCCATTCCAGGAAAACCTGCAGCACATACATATAACAGAACATTTTAGTGCTGCGGGCTCCGATCTTCCTGGGACATGCCATAACTGTTTCGTCTGCGGTGAAAGTTTATATACACTCTGTCTAATCAAATATTGTACATCATGTAAAAATTAAGAATATATTATTAAGAAAATATATTTGTTATACTGCAACCATTGATTGCATAACCTCCCCGTTAACACTATGGTAGATTGGTTTTTCTGTTAAGGGGTGCTCATTTTTTATATAATTTTTCCGTAATATTGATGTATGGACCGTTTCAATGATGTATCACATGTATTTTTATCATTAAAAAACTATGTATGGGGGATGTTTAGGGGTTGAATAGGGTGAGTAAGAATTTTTGTTTATTTTATTCGTAATCTATGCTTAGAAACCTTTTCAATGATGTATCACATGTGTTTTTATCATTAAAAACTACGTATGGGGATGTTCAGGGGTTGAATAGGGTGAGTAAGAATTTTTGTATATTTTATTCGTAATCTATGCTTAGAAACCTTTTCAATGATGTATCACATGTATTTTTATCATTAAAAACTATGTATGGGGGATGTTTAGGGGTTGAATAGGGCGAGTAAGAATTTTTGTATATTTTATTTGTAATCTATGCTTAGAAACCTTTTCAATGATGTATCACATGTATTTTTATCATTGAAAACTACGTATGGGGGATGTTTAGGGGTTGAATAGGGTGAGTAAGAATTTTTTCTATAATTTTTCCGTAATATTGATATAAGGACCTTTTCAATAAAGTATCACATGTATTTTTATCATTGAAAACTACGTATGGGGGATGTTTAGGGGTTGGATAGGGTGAGAAGGAATTTTTTCTATAATTTATTCCTAATCTATGCTTAGAGACCTTTTCAATGAGCTATTGAACGCTCTGGTAGGTTGAATTTTCAGCTAAGGGGTAGTTTGGAGATTGATAGGGGTATGTTGGAATTGTGGTCGATGTCGATGTGATATAATATGTTTCCATGTTCAAGTTACTTTGAATGGCAAAATCTATATGTTAGACTATAGAAGGTATGACATATTGCATGGTCGCCGACGATATTTCTTATGCGACGTCATCATATTGTCGAAAGAGACTATCCTATCTATGTCAGTGTTCCTGTAGCTAACACAGTTCGCTTTGTTGGCGAATATCGAAGAAAATTTTGTTCTGAAATTATACGAGAGATGTCACTATAATGTGGTTTTTAGTGTTTTGAGATGTTTTTTATTTCCAGATGCCTTTTCAATTATCTATTTTGGTATAAATGTTGTCATCAAATATTAGTTTATACAACGGTTTTAAATGATTTCGAAGACGCTATGATATTTGAACATTTTATTCTCTAGTGTATCTGTTTTAGGTGTAAAATCGGAGTATTGTGTTATTTGAATATTTTATTGTTTAGTGCGTTGTGTAATTTGTTCTTTTTACCTGTTAAAGGTGTTTTGCCGATTATGGATTAGCATTAAATTGTAAGTTAATTTTTTAATATTAACTTTAAGCATGGCTAGACTTTTTTTTACAAAACAATACTTTATTATTTCGTAAAAGTTGTTGTAAAGTATTACTGGTTCGATATTTAAACACCTGAAAAATATGACTTTAAGGTATTAATTAAAAGCAAATAATTTAAAAATTATGTATTTACGTCTTTATACAAATGTTTTAATTTAATCGCTAGATTACAATATTTTTCTAATTTTTCGACTCTTTTTTTGATGCGTGAAACTTTCGTTTCGTAATTTAAACAGTTTTTTTTTAATTGTTTTGAAGTTTTAAAGTTTGATCGCAAAACTGATTGTTTATTTTAAGAAATGCACTTAATTGTCTCTGGT